GTTGACGAAACTCTGACGGAGGCTCAGTTGCCATCAGCTGGGCTTCGAGGCTCTCTTGGAGGAGCAGGTGCTGCGAACCAGAAACCCATGCAAAATCCTGGGCCAACACACAGAAAAAGGCGGCAAGGGCTATCCACGGTTTAGTAAAAACCCTAAACCCTTCCCTCGCCATGTCCCCCCCCCTTCTGCGCCTCCGAAGAGGCCGAGGCCGAGGAGGCCGAGGAGGGGCAGGAGGAGGCCGAGGCCCAGGCGCATCATCGGCGGGTGAAAGAGTGTGCGGGGAGAGCTCCGGAGCCGAGATCGTCTCCGAGAAGCTTTCTAATTCAGGTTCCGATACGTACAATGTCCCCTAAAACAAAAACTAATTACACTATTCTAAGGGCCCCAAATTACATCCAAAAGTGCAGGACAGAACGCCTGAAGCCTCCAGCTGCTCATGCAGATCTCGGCCTGGCCTCTGCCCGAAGCCCCAAAAACCCGGCTATACTCTAACCCCTAACCCTAACCCTCCAGCTACCTACTATATAGGGCCCTAGGGGCTCTAGTACCCTATGTAGTAGGCACCTGGGTGGCTAGGGTAAGCTGTAAACTCTCTGAAACCCGAACCCCCGAAACTACAAACGTCAAAAAAGGCCTAAACCCCTACCTATAAGCCCTCCAAACCCTGTACTCTAGCCTGTAAACTCTGAAACCCGAACCCCGAAACTACAAACGCCAAAAGAGCCTAAACCCCTAGAAGCCCCCCAAGCCCGACGCGCCCTCCGGGTCTCCGGACATCCGGGGAAGCTCCAGCTCGACAGCTCCAAGAGCTGCTTACCTTTTTTTTGGCTTGTGTATGGTATCCTTAATACCTTACAGTAGTATACTACAGTATGTCACCTTTCTTTGGCTTGTTTTAGGGTCTAGGGTTTAAGGTTTAGGGTTTGGGGTTTAGGGTATCTTTCATATGTTCCAGTATACTGTAGTACACTACAGTATGTACAGTAGCATACTATTGAGAAGATTCTGGTAAACTAAGATTATGGTAAACTATGGTATTCCCCAGAGGACCAAAGCCTCAGTGAGCTACGGGGCCGACCGACCCCCCCCTCATCCCCCTCCTTTGCCAAACAAACTTGGATACCTAATGCCCACCCCTAGTTTGGATTATAAAGCGGTGGTGATTATACATACAAGTATGTATATGTATATATAAATATACACATACACGCACACACATCATGACTAAATATGTATAAACACAGTTTTAGGTTTTAGGGTTTTGGGCTACTCGGAAGAGCAAAGCCTTTGGGCATTTGGTGATTCGGTTTGTTGTGTGGGGGGAGGGGGTGTGACTAGGGGTTCTGAAACGGGCTTTCGGGGTTTGAAGGATTTTTAGGGTGTCCAGGCTTAGGTTGATAAAAAACGACTCTACAAGGGCTCTGTGAGGGTTGTCGACTTTTCAGGTTTCTGCAAGCATTCTGCAAGAATCCTGAGGTACGGTTCTATGAGGATGCTATGTGTACTGACAAAAGAGGAGCTCTCTGGATTCGATAAGCAACCTATGGGGGTTTAGGCTTTGGGTTAGTGTCGGGAGGCCTTGAGCTCAAGAGGCTTTTGAGGTGTAGGTGAAAGCTCTGGAGAAAGATTCTGCAAAGACTGGGTTCTTGTTAAAGGATGTTATTTAAGCTACCATAATGGGGATCTATAGTAGATAACAGGGCTTCTTATGGCAACTTAAGTTAAAACCCTCCAGAAAGAACCCAGAAGACTCTGTGAGTGGATGGACTCTGGGGATCCCCTAACACCTAAACCTCGACTCCCACGAGGCTTTGGGTTTTTTATCGCCTTCGTCACGGGGCTTTGGGTTTTTTAGGTTTGAGGGTGTTGATGTCAAGCGCTAGAAGCCTCAAGCTTAAACTCCGAAGCCCGAAGGCCAAACACAAAGTCCCAAAGTCTACCAGACGCCAAAAGCCCAAAGGCACAACCCGAAAAAACCCGCAGGCCCAAAGACAAATCCCAAACCCCAACGCCTGAGGCCCAAACCCCAGAGCCAAACCGCTAAGGCGTAGGAAATGGTCTGAAAATTATGGTCCCTTCAAGCCCCGTCCCCAAACCCCAAAACCTCGAACGACCCTATATAAACCACTTATGTGCACTTGTTTCGACAAACTAGCATTTGCTTTCTCAAAAAAACGGGCAGGGACCCTAAACCCCAAACCCCCAAACCCCGCAACCCTAAACCCTAAACCCCGAAGTCCCCTCAACTCCGAACTCCCCCAGAGAGGCTGAGGCTCCAACCATGGGTCTGAACTTCAGAGAACTTTTGGCGCGCGCGGAGCGACTTCTGGTCTGAGCCCTCGTCCCGTCCCCAAAAACGGCTGCGGAAAAGTGTTTTGAAATGAGAGCTGGAGCTAAATTTCGGGAATTATGGCTTCGGCTTTAGGGTAAGGTTATGAGGTGGGAGTGGGTTTCGGGATTTAGGGACGCTCTTCGGGCTCATCTTTTTAAAGTTTGGTGTTTGCTCGGGCTTTGCTGGGTATGCAAAGAACCGATAATAAGGAACCCTAGAAAAGGTAGGTTATTTGGGGTCCAGGTTGGGTCTGGGTTGTAGGATTTGGGGTCTTGGGGCTCGCCCCCGCCTTGAGCACAGCCTGGCCTGCTTGAGTTTAGCTCGTTTCCCGAAGGGTCCATGTGCCCAAATAGTAGAGACCCAAATGGACCCTTTTTGGGGACCATTTTACCGTAGAAGTATAAAACGAGTTGGGCATGTGGGACCCATAGGGTTGAGCATGCAATCGGAAGCTATCTGCCACACCACAGCTTCTTGCTGTAGACACGAGCAAGGCCTGTCCCTTACCCACTAGGCTCCTCACAATCGGAACCGCCGAAACGTGTTCCCTACTTCTTGGAGCACTAGCATCAAGTACCATAGCCTGCGTTTTTTGTAGCTTCTTATCATGAACCCCAATAAACCTACAAAAACAATAAACCTACAAAAACCGTAAGAGTGGGTATCCAGGCACTGTACCGGCAA